CAACATCTTATAAGCACTTAAGGGTCTTTAAAAAATATCCATATGCCCATTCCAAGGGTCAGAAACAGTCTGAATCCGAACAGAAGATAAGAAACAAATCAAAAAGAGATATCACAGTTCCCGAGTAAAAGAAACATTATCTGGCATATATTATATGGCTATAAAAGGGGCTTGTGTTATACTGAATTCTAATGATGACTGGCCAACACTCAAATAAAAGTGTTTGCCTTGAAGGTGCAAATTTCATTTTAATAATGACTTGCTCGAAAGAGAATAGTAGTCATAAAAAGATTGTTTGATGGCACAGTGCCAGACAGCTTTCTCGCCGATCAAAGTCCAAGTGGCAAAAGCTGTTGGTTGTGACGAAAAGTCAGTACATAGTTTGGTCAAAAATTTGTGTTTATTAATTACCATATCATTTAGATCCACGCAGAGCGGGCACATACCTTTGTTCACTGACACATCACATATGGGATGAAATATACTAACTATATACACACAGTATTCTCTATCTAGCCTTCTACTTAAGTAATTTCCTACTCAACCCTCGATAGAATCTCACGCTTCCTTAAGAAATTGATTGATATGGGGCGCCACCCGCTCCGGGGTGACCAGATGAAGATGGTGGGTGCCGGGCACCTCGACGTACACCACTTTGCCGGCGTTTTCCCTCAGCGCGGCAATCACATCCGCATAGACCTGTGGCGACTCGAACTTCATGCCGGGAGTTCCGCGAATGTTGAGCACCTGGCAGCGAATCTGGCGGGCGTAGGCCAACGTCTGCTCCGCGGTGAACATGCCCAGCAGGCTGACCTTCAACCGCAGATCCCGGGCAAACAGATAGCCATCCTTGCTGGGATTGTGCCGCATTCCCCGGTTCATAAGCACCCGGACGGAGGGCTCATCCACGGAGCCATCGTAGGCGTCGAGCACCAGCTTGATCATCTCGTCGTACGAGTAGCAGGGCTGCTTGCTCTCCGGTAGAGACTCGTAGTCCAAGAACTTGTCCAGTGCCTTGCCCGTGCCCTGCGCCATTCTCTGAGTGCTTCGCACCGTGGGACCCGCAATATCGATGTTGATCAGCTTGTCCACCTCCGTGGGGAAACTGGCCGCGTACATGAAGGTCAGAGCTCCGCCCAGCGAATGGCCCAGCAGGCTGATGTTCTTCCAGTTGTACTTGCGCACTATGCGGCGGATCAGGCAAATGCCGTCCCAGAAGATGAAGTACTGCATGCCCTGCGGATAGTGCGAGGACTTCCCGTGGCCGGGCAGGTCGATGGCCAGGACGGAGGTGTCCGCCGGCAGCAGGGGGCACAGCCGGTCGAAGCTGCCGCAGTTGTCCTGCCACCCATGCAGGGCGATGATGGGTTGCTGCTCCTTGGAGCCCCACCACTTGCCTGGAAACGAAAAATCGATTAGTGCACTGGCAGAAAAATGAATCTTAAAAATACATATACATATCTATTTAAACTTGTAACATAATGTTTTGTTGTACTATAATAAACAATTTACCATAAAGAATATAGGATAGAATGACGTTTTCAAATTGTATTACTTATGGTATTTCAATTTTTGAAGAAAAGTTGATTTTAATTTTTAGGAATTATAATGAAATGTTTAAAATTAAACAATGAAAGAGTATAGTATAACATAAATTAAATATTTGTTTAAAAATTGTTTAATTTTCATTTAAAAAAAAATGTTTTTAGTTTTTATTCCACTAAAACTATTCAAAATAGTGTTTCCTTTAGGTGTAGCTGCACCACAATAAAAATCACGTCAGCTTGTCATGAATGGGCCGATGCTGTTGATAAGGAAACTGGCGCCTTGATGACTCACCCTCTACGGTTCCCCACGGAACGTCGATGGAGAACTCCTCCCAGCTGTCCTCGCCCAGCAGCTGAGGCGCCTCCTCCTCCAGACCATCTGAAAAAGGGTAATCCAGCCGTTGGTGAAACTCAAATAAAGAAGAGTTGTGACGAAACCATGTCTGGTGAAATCGCCCAGGTGGGACGCAACCAAGCCAGCGGAGACTTCGGACTCAGGTGCGAAAAGTGTGCGAACTGGTGACCTGACCATGACCTCCTCCTCTTCATTACTCACTTGTGTCTGGGGAAAGCGTCGCCTCCGCAGATTGCGCCGTTGGTGTTGTCGCCACGCGTGTCTGGCCCATGGCTGAGTTGTGGTGCGAATGTGGGCTTTGCGATTCCGTAATCAGGTAGACTGGGGTTTCAGACAGGCAACTGTTTTGGAGGAATCTCCGAGAGAGACTAACGACCAACTAAAATTCCAGCAGTTTACCCCGAATGTGGGAAGTTTCAAAAGAGCTGGCAGTTTGGGGGGAAAAAGCTAGGAAGCTATGAGGAAGTGCTGATACTATGAGAATTGGTTCAAAATAGTCATATATCGAGGCACATAATTATGAACGTAATATTAAGCAAATAATAAACAAAGTTATAGTATACATTTTCAAACGGGAATAACAAATATTAACTATAAAGTGTGATAGTTTGAAATATCTTGTTAGCGGTACCAAGAAATACTAAATTTAGCTTTAAAATACCAAAGGAGGCATCTCAGTTACGACCACAGCTCATTTTGAACTGGGTGGCAACTCCGTCATATTGTTTTTATTTACAATTGCGTGCAATTTTAATATTATTTCCACCAAATTGTCCTAATTACTTAACAAATCAACATGTAAGTTTAGAAAATCATGTCCCCAGCATAAGCTATACCATTTCTAATTTGAAATCCCATCAGGACGGAGTTCTGGAAGTCCAACGAGCGGAAATTCTGCGACTTTTGCAAATGCTGGCTGAGCGACAACAAGGCGGTGAGTTGATAGATCCTTGAATTAAAGTACTTAAATGACCCCCAATCCCCTAGAGCGTCGCCTTCCACGAGAGTGGCAAGCGGCACAAGCTGAATGTGGCCAAAAGGATCACGGACATCAGTCGCAGCAGCGAGAAATCAGAGCGGGAGCGCCAAAAAATGGACGCGGATATCCGGAAAATGGAGGAGGCGGCCATGAAGTCATACGCCCAGGATGTGCATTCCCGTGGGGACATGACCGCGAGGTCCATCAACACGGTGATGAGGGCCACCGCCTCCTCCTCCTCTTCCGGTGGCGGGCCCTCCTCCGCTGGAAGATCCCGTCAAATAGATCCCATGCGCCTCGAGGGACTCTCCGATGATGAAGAGGACCAAAGGCGCGTGGCTCCTGGCAAGGTGGCCGCGGAAGCAGCCGCCACGGAGGCATCCCTTTGGGTGGAGGGCAAGTCGGACGAGGGACACACCTACTACTGGAACGTCAAGACCAACGAGTCCGTTTGGAAGCCCCCAAAGGAGGGATATCTGTCCTACGAGGAGTATGAGCGCATTAACCAGCTGGCCATCGATCAGCAGGAGATCTCCCAAGCCCAGGAGTCCCTCAAGTTTCGGGCCAATGCCGATGAGGAGGTGGCGCGGGTGAATCGGGAGAAGATGAAGGCCTTCCGGAAGCCAGACAACCCCAAGGAGAAGAAGCAAAAGGAGGAGCGGCGTCAGACATTCAAAACGGAGGAGGAGGCGGCCACCAAAGAGATTGGCCAATGGCAGACAGTGGTGGTCAAGTAGGACTATTTAAACTTAAACATTTCGAATACCATAATGAAATCTTTTTTTTATAGAGCACCTGAGCAACCCATTGACTGGCAGCTACCCCAAACGGATTACTACACTGCTGCTCCCGTTGTTTCAACTCCTAGTGAGCCCGAACCGCCGGTCAAGCGATTCAAGGAGAAGACAATAGGCGGTCTGGATGCGGAGACAGCCGCCAGTGCACCTGCCACGTTCAAAAGGAAGTTCATCAAGAAGGGAAATAGTCGCCAACGCGTGGACGATTAGGTACTTAATGCAGTTTTTATATGTTACCAACTAAGTAACAAAGTTAGATATTAAAATTAGTAACGCTTTTGCATATAACAGTGCATCTGTAGCTCAATCTATAAATTTATTTTAAGTTAAAAAATAAAATAAATGCTATTATATCTCATGTGACTATCCAATTAATCCTATCTTGCTTTCTGAAGTAAAAAATTAAATAGGATTTAAATGTTACTATTATCTCAGCTTTCAAACTTGTTTACATATACATTTACATTTATAAATAATTTTCAAAAAACGATAACAGTAACGACTACTTCGATAACATGATAGGTTTGTGTCCCTGCTTAAGTGTGGCAAATTTAGGTTGTAATTTGTCGTTATTTTTTAGTACTTTCCAGCAAACGACCTGTGGTTTTTCCCACCTCTCCACCAAAGGTCACTCTGCTGTTGTTGTTGTAGGCGAGCGGTCGAAATTTGCGTCGGAATTCCGTTGAAGTTGAATCGCGCTATTTTCCTGCGCGTTGTGTTGTTTGGTTTCGTTTTTCTTTCGCTGTCCGCCGTTCGTTCTCCATTCGTGTTTTTAATTCCGCGCTGCAAGCAAACAAGAAGAAGGGGAAGCAGCAAAAGTGGCGAGTGCAATCGCAGCGTCGAAATTTCAATTGAAATCTGTGTGGCAATTTCAGCGGCATTCAGTGTAAATAAATTGAATTAAAGCAAAAATCTTCAGCCTGACCTGACAAAAAGTTTGCCAACCGAAGAAGTGAAAAGTAAACAATAACACAGGCAATCGAAAAAGTGGTTTTCGATAGATTACGGCACACGCACACACCTGTGATTTGTGTGCAAAGCGGTGTGTGTGAGTGTGAGGCGAAGGAGAGGAAAGGTCAAGCCGAAAATTGCGTAAAAAGGGAAAAGGGAAGCGAAGAGAGAGCGGAAAGAGAGTTACGTCAGTTACGAAAAACGATAAACAATATCGATCTTAGAAAGGACACCCGCTTACGATAAACAATAAACGATAATACCGATCCATTCCGATACACAAGCTCGATTGTACTGAACGGAGATTCACGTCAATTCGAACCTACGATAGCCAATCTCCGGTAACAATAAAGGTTTTTTAAAAATATAAGGAAAATCAGGCAAGATTCAGTTCGTCTACGCTTACAACAGCTCCGCGCCCCACGCCGCCTCCTCCTACCGCACCGCCGTCGCCCCCTTCGCGCCCTACACGGCCGAGCGGTCCACCCACCACCACCCACTCCCACCCCCTGACCCCCAGGAGCGGCTGCCCTCGGACACAGAGCAGCTAGCGGGCACGGATCAGGACCAGGAAGAGGAGGATTCCGAGGAGGAGCGCGCAGGTAGCGGACCCTCCGTCAAACCGCTCATCGCAACGACAACAATAGTACCGGAAGCGGTACAAAAGGAAGCACCAGCGGCGCAAGGAGCAACAGAGACGGCAGCAATGGCGGTGGTGCGAAAGAAACAGGACGACAAGTACCTGCTCGCCCTGCGGGAACTGGTGGCCAGCGGGTCGGGGGGCAATCGGCAGTGCTTCGATTGCGGGCAAAAGGGACCGACCTACGTGAACATGACCATCGGATCCTTTGTCTGCACCCGCTGCTCCGGAGTCCTGTGAGTATCCTCCTACTTAGTTCCAGGAAACTGACATTTTCCGCATTAGTCGCCATGTAGGGTGGTCTACATTCTAAAAGATACATCATATTTGATTTATTTCTTCAGAACAAATATAATTCCATGTGAGACGTTATGGGATGTCAAAATGTTTTACAGAGTTTTAGTTTTTTGTTCTGCAAGAGATCTTGCTAGCCTTGGGTTCTTTGTATACTCACAGAGTTTACCTGATGTGTTTTCTAGTTTTCTTGTCTTATTATAATCATTAAGGTACTACGAAAATCTATCTTGAGAGTAGTAAATAGGTAATCCTATTAATATTCCTTTTAATCCTATAAAAGAAAACCTAGATTAAGTAATCTTCACACTTGGATTTGGACTTAGAGGTCTACTTAAATATGTCCCCTTTAATCCTTGACAAACGATTCTCAAAATCTAAATGTTTTAAAATCACAATTGATAAACTCTAAAGTGGAAAATCCATTTGACTCTTAAACTTTGTTATGAATGGCACTAAGTTGTACTGACTGGTATATTTTTATCAAAAGTGTTTCCTTGTGTGATATTTCCCAAATGGTTTACCCCCGGGAATTTCATTTTAAACTTTTAGATTTCGGCGGAATCGAGTATCTCATAAAAAATACATAGATGTCCGCCGAGGCGCCTAAAAATAGGATTTTAAATTCAGAAAATTCGGAAATCAATCTGGACCTTTCTTGGAAAGGCCCCTTATCTTCACTTGAACCCGGCCAATTTGAACTCGCTTGACGTTCGTTTTCGATCAGTCGCCGAGTGGAGTGACCGATAATTTCCGCTCGATGCAATGTCCGATCCCGTCTCCCCATTATTATTTTGTATTTTGTGTGAAAGCGAAAGCAATTCCCCGAACAATTTCGAACAATTTCGCACAATTTGGTTTCCTTTCCTTTTCGAAATGCAAATCGAAGACAAAACTTTCAATTGCGCGACATCGCGCCAACGAAATTGTGTTGTCTTCGCCGGCGGCGCTTTCTATTCGTGCTTTGTGTTTTCTAGTGACAGTTTCGAGGGCCGCCCACCTGGCGGCTGAGTTGTGGGTGTCCTTGGCGCGCCCAGTTCCACCCACTTTCCACTTTTTACCCCTTGAAGTAATTTGCCAAATTGGGTTTGATTTGTGCGCACTATGGCTAAATTGGGGTCATATATTACCACTCCTCCGGCGCTGCATTTTATTTGATTTACGCATTTCCGGATCAAGCACATTACATGATTGCTCTTAAACTTCCGCCTGGCCCAGGTCCAAAATCCCAGTCTCCCACGACCGGTGCCCCAGATTTTGTGGACTCTCAATTGGACGGCATGCGGGCTCCTCCATTGAGTTATCTCTATCATCGGAACCAGGTTGCAAGTGGCCAACTGCGATGCATTCTGCCAGCCGTCTTCTGCATTCCCCAACTCCTCCTTCGATGACTCATTGCCCGTTCCCTAGCCTTCGGTTCTCCATCCTCAATCCTCAAGCCTCAAGCCTCGTTGCCAACTGCCAAGGGAAACAAATGTTGGCATGTAAATGAAAAGCCGCATAAATGCCGGGGACACAAAACGATTGCACTGGGAGAAACGATTAAAACGATTGGTGAACATAATTGAAGGTAACTTTGGTCCTTCAAGGGGAATAGGTTTAAATATTGTTTTATTAACATTCGATTTTATTGAGTTAAATTAGTTAGTTAGTTAGCTAGAGTATTGTATTTGATTGGAGTAATAGGGCTTCTGATAAATAAAGTAAAAGGTAACATTTGGTCCTTCTAGCCGGATACGTTTAAGTAATACTTGATTGATATTTCTTTATATTGAGTTGAGTCCATTTGGATAGGGATATGGGGTTTTTAAAGTAACATTTGGTCCTTCAAGTCGGATATTGTATTAGTTTTGCATTCAGAGTTGATGCCATTTCAAAATGTGTAAAAGAATAGATACATTTGTATCTGTTAGTGCCTAGTCCCAACTATTTTCTCCCTGTGCAGCCGAAGGGGTGTGGAAAGGTACTGCAGCATAATAGGGGCCTCGACGAAGGAAGGGGCGTGGCAGGGGCGACAGCAGGCGACAACGAACTTCCTGGCTGAAAATGAGACTGGAACTTCGACTTGCGACTGCCACTGCGACTGCGACAAGGGAGTGCAGGGAATACCAAATGAAACCGACTCCATGAAGAAATGGCTGTGCATGTTCAGCCCGCCTTTGGATATTGGAATCCGCTGCAGACCGGCCGGCCACTTGGAGCGCTTTAATGGAGGAAGCGGTTCAGGAATGAGGGGCCGATGGCTGATGAGAATGGGAGTGGGTTTTGAGAATGGGAATGGTCCGGGGAGGAGGAGGAGGAGCGGCGGGGAAAACCCGTCCGACAGCTTTTGCCAGGCACTCACTCGAATGTATTTTTGGGCCGAAGTGGCTGCTGTGCCTCCAATTGCAGACAAATTGTTGCACCTCAATCAAGCAGCAGTCGCCGCCATCTGCTGCTCCGCTTTTGGGTCTTTTTGGTCTTTTTCTGTGACTTTGGCTTTGGCAGAGTTCAAAGCTTGTGCTGGCTCATAAAAGTCAAGAAACTTGTTGATTAGATAAGGCGAAAGCAAACGAGCATTGGGAGCAGAGCAGCCATGGTGAGCCACTTTCTCAGGCTTCGTCATCATTCCCACCGCACACAAAGCAAGAGCACTAACTACACCACAGCCACGGCCATTTAAATATGAAGTTACCGACTTAATAGCGTAGGTATTATTCACTTATTAAATAACCGAGCCATGTGAATCAGTGCGAGTTCGGGCGAAAAATGCTAAATACCCAGTGGATTGCTCTATTCGCTGGAACAGATGTCTACTAACTAAGGCATTTCTCCTAATCACATTGATGTTTCAACTGCACTAAATTTAAAATTTATTAAATAAACAATAGTCATGTTGTTTGCTTTGCCAAACTTGTTTACTATTTCAAGTCATAAAGTATGTGTTTCCTGTTGTGCATCTTTCTAAACCGATTACATATTACAAGTATGTATTCTTATTCTCCAAATTGTTTATCTTTCAAAACAAGTCAGATTACTTCCCTAAAGCATATAATCTTTATTATGTGTGATTTCCTTGACTAGATGTGACTCACTGCTCAAATGTTGTATATCATCACGAAATAATTTGCTTTATATTTTAATAAACAAGTTCTATATACAAAGTTCTCATATTTTTGGGGATAAGACTGTGACTGTTAAGTCCCATCAAAATTGTACTTTATTTCTTGTCTGCAATGCACTTCTTTCTGCATTAGTTAAACTAACTTTATGTTTAAGCTATTTCTGTGTCCCTGGTTGTATGTTTGCAGTCGGTTGTCGGGTGTTTGTGAGCTTCTATCTGTCGGAGAGTCTATGGCTATAGCTATAGTCGTGCTATAGGTACACAGAAAGAAGAGTGTGTTAAAATATTAGCTTGACATAGGTAACAAAATATTAGTATTATAATTTGATTAGAAAGCTTTCAAGTAACAAAAAGGGTTAGGTATCAATAAGATTTGAACCTTTTGGCCCTTTCTTAAAAGTAAACCCATTGATTAAAAAAATTGCATTTTTCATTATCAATCTAACATTGTTTATATACAATGTCAAATTACCCACGATATTTATTTTGTTTATCTATTTTTTATCGGTGTATCTATACAGTCATGTTGTAGGTACATGCGTCAGCGGGCAAGTGAACTGTGGAGCGGACCCCTCCCGGTTTCCGATCCCCGAACCCCGATCCCCAGTCCCCGGCGCATTGGCATTGCAGTTGCAGTCGAACTGGGCCAACTGCCTTCGAGTGGAGCTCACAAAAGCTCAGAGCACGTCTTTCTCTCTTTTTTAGCTTTAGCTTGGCCGTTCTGCGGCTCATATGTAAATTTCCGATTATGAAACAGCATAAACATGTCTGCGTTTGACAGCCCCAAAAAAGGGGGCTAAGAGAAGAGGGGCGGGGCACACTTTCACCATGCGGTGTCAGCTGTGTGGCCCCTTTATTTCGGCCTCTCTATCCGCCGAAAAACGGAAAAAGCCAAGACAACAAACGAACAAACTAAAAGATAAGCAACCCAAAGGCAAAGCGTAAGAGCAATTAAATATAAATAACAAGAGGCCAAATGTGTGTGCTTTTGTACACTGTACAGCACTCCCGCTTGTGTATTTTGTCTTTACACTTAAATATTCAAAATGCGAAATGTTTTCAACACGGAGAAAAAGGTAATTCATCGAGGTATCTGAGCTACCAGTAAAAGTATCTGTCATCTAGGGTACGTCGTAGATGCATTTACTTTTGGGCCATTAAAAATGTATTTGCAATGAAAAGGGCTAAAGTTCAGGCTTTGAAATAGTTGTTTCAATTGTAATATATGTATGTAAATATGCAACTATTTAACTACATTTTGTATAATCTTTGGTAATATAATTTGAGTTTGGGAAATGTAAAATTACAAAAGTGCTATGATATAATTCTGGATCAACGTGATAAGATAAGATGACTACATTGACATTAAAAAAAGTTATAAAAAGCAAATTAATGACATTAGATACGTTTGTAGATAAAACTTGATATTTTTTGCAGTTTAGTTTCACAGTATTCGCTTTGATTTGAGTTCCTGGAATCAAAGCGAGTGGAATTGAACCGAATCCGCTCCTAACTCGTTTAGCATTTGAGGAAATGTTTGTGAATCGCTTATGAGTTTTGAAGGAAGGAAAGAGGAACCCGGGGGAGGGGGTCGGGTTTAATAGACATACGAATATAAAAAGGGGTAGGGGAAGAGGGGTGTGGGTGACCCGGCAATTATTGCGCAGTTTTGATTCAAAGGCAGGCACAAACACTCTTAGAAGGTGTCGTTGTTGTAATTGCTGTTGGTTCCTTTGTTTGGCTGATGTTGTCTCTACCACCGCCTTTATCACCCCCTAAACCCCCCCAACCACACCTCTGTTTGTTTTGGCGCTCGCCTTGAAATAGAGATTTCAGTTC